GTATGGATCTCTCCATATGCTCCCATCAGCTGCTGGAAGAAACCTCTTTGATGATAATTGGGATATGCAGTAATTTATGATTATAGCAGAATATAGTTATGAATAATTTCATTGATATTTTTTGATCAGTTGTATTTGAGTCTACCCTAGTTCTGAGCCATCCAAGTTCTGGTTCCTGGCCTTTCAGGTAGTGTCATGCATGGGCTTCCTCTCAGAGCTTGGGCTTCAAGTTACACCATTCATTGGATGGCCACTACAGAGTCTATTAGACATCATTGCCCCAGCATATGTAGCATGCAAGACAAATGGCTAGCTTGGTGTCTCAGTCCCACCATTGGGATTCTAATGTGCTTACAGAAGATGGCTAGTTCAGCTTCCATATTCTTACTTACTTGGAGTCCTCTCTAGGGTCACCCTTATATTTTCCAGGAAATTTGTATTGTACTATTTCCATGTCCCCTGCTAAAAGGTCCCCTATTCCAGTCATATCTCCCTGCCTTCTTCCACTCTGTTCATTCCTTACTCACCTGATCCTTCCTGTTTGCATCCCAACCTGCCTCCTGTGTACCCTCAAAATCTATTCTATTTCCTCTTTCCAGGGAGAGCCATGCATCTCACCTAGAACTATTTTGTTACTTAGCCTCTCTGCATCTATGGATGGTACTGTGATTAACTGAGATTATTGTGATTGTCTGTCTATGTGCTTATGGGTTGCCTCGCTCTTGCTCAGGATAATCAAGAACTCAAGAAACTAGACACCAATAAACCAAATAATCAATTACGTTGGGGTACACCTCTCTGTAGAGGACTTTAAAGTGGCTGAGAAGCATTTGAAGAAATTTTCAAAATCCTTAGCCATCAGGGAAATGCATATCAAAACTACTTTGTAGTTTCATCTTATATCTGTCAGAATGGTTAAGACCAATAACACAAGTGATATCTAATTCTGTCAAGAACAAAAAACAAGAAAATTCATTGCTATTGCAGGTATAAACTTGTACAGCCACTGTGGAAATCATTTTGCAATCCTCAGAAAATTGGAAGTCAATCTACCTCAAGACCCAGCTATATCATTTTTGGGCATAGACCCAAAAGATGCTTCTCTATCCTACAACAAAGATACTTGCTAAACTATGTTCAAAGTAGCTTTGTCCATAATAACCTTAAACTGTTATGTCTGTGAGAGATTATGTTGATTGATGATTGATATTGGAAGGCTTTTCCACCTAGGGTTGCATGGGAAGGCTCCTCCAGCTATGGTGCCAATATCCCTAAAAAAGTGGGTCTAGGCTAAAAATTGGAGCTAACTGAGTATGAGACACTGACTAGACAAGAGAGAAAGCCAGGAACAATCTTTGCCAATAGGTTTTGCCATGAATTGTTAGCTTGACTTTCTGTCCTAATCTCCCCAAATGTGGGGTGTGATCAGATACAATTAGCCAAATAAACCCATTCATTGCCCAAGATGCTTTTGATTAGAGAATTTAATGACAGCAGGATAAAACAAGTTATAACAAAAAAATGTAGCAACAAAAGTTATTTTATTGTTAGGTAGAAGCTGGGAGTATTGTCTTTTGGAAGATATCAAGACATTAGGTGGCAAAAACCATAAGAAGTAGTACACAGAACTTAATTGGCTGTTATTTTAGGACTAGGAAATGGGAATGTTAAGAGGAATAGCAGTTTCAGTTGGAAATAGATAGATTCCATTAAAAAAATTAAGCAAAAGGTCATATTTTGGCTCCAAAGTCTTTCTTATTTTGCCCATGCCCTGGAAATTTAGTAAGGCAGAAATAAAAATTAATGGGCTAATTCCTTAAATGGAATATTGAATTTGTTCGATGTTTATTTGTGATGACTCATTCGTGTCTACAGTGAAAAGAAAATAAGTGGGACAAAAATAAATTAACATGAAAAGATAGTTTCAGAGAGCAGTCAAGTACTGAAACAGGCAGGAATTTTCAAGGAGTTTATCACCATTATAGAGAAGGCCCTTGCTATGGAATGGAAGCCCTAAGGGTAACTGAAGGAACCTTAGGGGTAAGACTCCATGCAGCTAAACATTCAATAATAGAAAGAGTAAGCAAAGTGAGTCCTAGTCCTAGGAAGCAACTTCATACAAAACTTCTGCACCTGTAGTTCAAGCATGTTAGTGTCCATCCCAATTAGGAAATCAAACTTTGCAGGATCACCTAACATGTACTGGTCCTAGAAACAAGAAAAGGTCAAAATTTAAGGTCACGGATTCTTAGTCTGTGGTTACTTTCCAGAATTGTCAGCATTCTTGCAAGCATCTATGGCAGAGTCAGAAAACCAATGAGCACACATTAAGAGTTCACTGTATGAAGCTGTGAGGTTTGAAGCCTGGTGCTGTTGGTCTTTATTCTTTACTCTCTGGGGGTCCTGCCACTCAGCTCTCAAATCAGAACCAGAGGGTTTTTTTTTTTTTTTAATAATTGCCTGACCTTAGCTTGGTTTGTTTATAGGCAGCTTTTCTTAACTTAAATTATCCCATTGACATTTGCCTCTGGGCTTTTATCTTCCTCTATTGTATATACCTTTTTTTACTTCTTATTATGGCTTGCTGTGTAGCTGGGTGGTTGGCCCCTGGTGTCCTCTTCTTTTCTTGCTCCTCCCTTTATCTTCCCAGATTTCTCTTCCCATTTATTCTCTCTGCCTGCTAGCCACACCTATCCTTTCCTGCCAAGCTTTTTGCCATTCAGCTCTTTATTAGACCAATCATGTATTTTAGACAGGCTTTAGAAGTATCACAGCTTCACAGAGTTAGTCAAATGCAACATAAAAGAATGCAACACATCTTTGCATCATTAAAACAAAAGTTCCACAGTACAAACAAGTATAACACATCTTAAAATATTCCACAACAGCCTGGGTTGCATTTTGAGACCAGAAGACATTGACACCTAACCTATAAGACATCTTCCCTGGAGACCTACTTGCATATAGGGAGTGGCAGTAACCAAAGAAAGAGATTTATGTGAAGTTTCAGGGATAGGGCCATGTAAGCCCTTTGAAACTGAAGCCCCATGCATCTGAGACATTGATATAGGATTTGATGTTTGTTCTGCTTGCTTCACTCTTGTCTTTGTCCAATCTTCCCCCATAACACAATGTCTCCATTTATCCCCTTCGGTATATGAATGGTATTCTGTGCCATTGTATGTTGGAAAGATGGAATTTGCTTCCTTGTGTTACAAAAGGTCCCCATCCTGAGATTATCTTGAGTGACAGAAGAGACTTTGGATATTTGAACAGTGTAAGCACTATTGCAGAGTATGATGATCACAGAAGTGACTAAATGCATTTTCTTCATAGATGACCATGAGCCTATAGTGACCTGAGTCAGAATGTAGTTGATTGAATGATAAACCTCCCAGACAGGATGATGTATTTAAACATGTGTCTCTCCATGGTGACTTTCTTTCCATTGCTTGTAAAATCTTTAGTAGGATGAACATTTCTGGATGAAATTCCTCATGGTTGGTGTGATATGAGTCTCTATAGCCTCAACCCATTTCCTGCTTTCTGTCTAAATCAGCCAGCTTCCTTCTGTTATCATATCTTCATCATCATATTGACTCTAACTCTAAATCACTAAAATACAGTAGAAACATTTAGTATTGAGTGCTAAAGCAGTTTGTTAGCCTGCTGTTTTAAACATTGTTTGTTTTTGAAGACAAGGTTTGTCTGTGTAGCCCTGGCTGTCCTGGAAGTACACTTTTGTACTCCAGGCTGTCCTCAAACTCAGAGATCCTCTTGACTCTGGCTCCCAAGACCTGAGATTAACAGTTGACCAGATTTCCTGGCTTTTTTTTTTTTCTCTTATTGGATGATGGGCCTGGAATTTAGGTTTTTGTAGATGTCAAGCATATGATGTTGTAGTGAGCTTCACCCATATTTTGAATTTTAAAATTTGGCAGAGGGTTTATTCTGTTTCCCAGAATCACTTGTATTCATGACATTGATAATGCCTGAGTCTTCTGAGATATTGGATTGTAAGTGCATGAACTTCTTCATGCCTGTTGTGTTTGGTTTGAATTTTTTAAATGAATATGAGTTTTTTACCTGTAAGCATGGATATGTACCATGTGGTTACCTGGTCCTCATAGTGATCCAAGATGGTCTCAGAAATGTTGAACTTAGAACAGTAGATAGTTTTGATTCTCCCATGTAAGTACTGGCAATTAAGCCCATGTATATGCAAGGACATCGAGACCTCTTTACTACTGACCTATCTCCTGTCTTGTGTTGATTATTTGTGATCAACATTTATATTGCTAATGTTTTCATCTGTCCTGCTCAAACACAACAGTGCCTTTGTAGTAAAATATTATTGATGTTACAGTTTTACCTGAGACACTTCAGGTTTCTGAAGATGAATACAGAACTTCAAGGAATACATAACTCTTTGTAGGAACTTCAGTGAAAACCTCTGAGTTCTTTCTTTTTTGTTGTTGTTTTCTGATTTTTGCATGGGAGACAGGGTCTTAATATGTACTTCTGGCCATTCTGGACCTGACTGCATAGATATACATGTCCCTGCCTTCTGAGTGCTAGGGTTGAAGACATGAGGCCATACACCCAGTTTGTCCATCTTATTTTTCTTTATTGTAGTTAGTAATTGCTCATAAAATTTCTCTCATGTGTACTCTGTATTGATCTGTTTACTTGTCTCTGTGTTTGTTAATAGGCATTTCTTTTGCAAAGGATACAGAATTTTTATGTCACAGTAGTCACTGAAAACAAAAGAACCCATACTGCAGTTTCCTTCTAAAGTGACTTGGTGATTACATTATAAAATATCTATGCCATGAAATAAGTGTGGGAAGGCCCAGAATTACATGACTATAATGTCAAAGAAGTATACATTTACTATATATATAATGTTGTCAGTATTATGCTTTCTGTTGTATGTATGTATGGGATATTTTAGAATACAGTGACCTATGATGACGTGCGTATTGACTTTACTTGGGAAGAGTGGACCTTGCTGGATCCTTCCCAGAAGAATCTCTACAAAGATGTGATGCTGGAGACCTACAGGAACCTCACTAGTATAGGTAAGACTAAATTTTCCTTCATATTTTATAGTAATGGGACAGCAGTTCCTTGTTATTGATGTTCTTCTATAATTTGATTGAGAAAGAAGAAAGATGTGAATAAATCAGTCATGGTTCTAAGGTTTAGTGAGCATAGTAAGTCAAAATTTTCACAATGTTCAATTATATAACATACATTTTTCTGCTACTATATTTTAGGATACATTTGGGAAGACCATAATATTGAAGAATATTGTCAAAGTTCTAGAGGACATGAAAGGTAATTTTCATGTGGAAGCTGATACAAATGTGCCCTTAAAGTAGTTGTAATATGTCCTGAAGGTTTTAAATAAAAGCAACAGTGTAAAACAAACAAACAAGCAAACAAACAAAAAAACACCACTTAAAGTCCAGTGATAATTATTAAATTCTCACATACCTCAGTCAAGGAAACAGTGCCTTTAGTGATATCACAATTTGAATCATAGCAACATTAGAGCTATGCTGCAGAACTTACAGTCTAATTTTTTCATGCCACTCATATTATAAAATGTATAAACATTGAAGATGTGATAATATATCTCCAAAACCTTCTAATAAGCAAACAATCAATAGTAAAGCTGGTGTTATGCATATACTTGTTGTGATTCCAGCGTTTAGTAAGAGGGGCAGTTAGAGTCCAGTGTCAAGGGGCAGTTGTGGAGAAATCAAAATCCCTGTACCACAAGTCTGTGAGGACAGAATGTCAAACTTAATTCAATGTGGAAATCTTTAATTTGTTTCTTTTTTACTAGGTATATCACATGTGACTCTGGATACAAGCCTTATGTGCATAGGGATATGGAAAGACATAACATACATCTCTCTCAGGACAATTATAAGATATTTAGCAGTTCCCAGTTTGAATACACTTGTTGAATTTGATTCAAGTGTACAAATAATTGGTTTTCCAGTTTCATTATTAATACATCATCAAACACTGCACAAAAGTCCTGTGAGTACTAGGACTATGTAAATATTTTTGTTTGTCCTAGTTCACTTAGCAAATGTAGTATGACTCACAGTACAGGAAAATTGATGGAATGCAATAGGGGAGGTAAGGCTCTAAGTTTTTCCAGTTCTCTGCAAATATGTGAAAAATCTCATATAGAAAAAAGATTCTGTAAATGTGAGTCATGTAATAAAGAATCTAACCATCAAAGGTGCAAAACAACTCTTAAGGAAGGGAAACAACATGAGTGTAAACTTAATGAGTGATTAAAAAATATCTAAGTCTTCTTTACATTTGGACCAAATTGTAAAATTAATTCATACAGACAATAAAGATTCAACAGGTTATTGAATGTGGTTAAGCTTTGACATGTTTCATTATCCTTGTAGGCAAGAAAGAAGTCAAACCGAAGAGATACCTTCTGTATACACTCAATGTGATAATGCCTTTGCATATCCCAGTACTATTCAATTGCATAAAAGAACAAATACTAGTGAGAATCTTTATGAATGCAATCCATGTGTTAAAGCCTTTGCATATCATGGTCATCTTCAAAAGCGTAAAAGAGCACATACTGGAGAGAAACCTTATGAATGTAATCAGTGTGATAAAGTCTTTGCACAACACAGTCATCTTCAAAGACATAAAAGAACCCATACTGGAGAGAAACCCTTTGTATGTAATCAATGTGGTAAAGCCTTTATATGTCATAGTACTCTTCAAGTGCATAAAAGAACACATAGTGGAGAGAAACCTTATGAATGCAATCAATGTGGTAAAGCGTTTATATGTCATAGTCATCTTCAAATGCATAAAAGAACACACACTGGAGAGAAACCCTATGAATGCACTCAATGTGATAAAGCCTTTGCACGACTCAGTCATCTTCAAAGGCATAAAAGAACACACACTGGAGAGAAACCCTATGAATGTAATCAGTGTAGTAAAACCTTTGCAGATAATACTGGTCTCCGAATACATTCAATAACCCATACTGGAGAGAAACCCCATGAATGTAATCAGTGTGATAAAGCATTTGCATATTACAGTCATCTTCAATTTCATAAAAGACTACATACTGGAGAGAAACCCTATGTATGTAATCAATGTGGTAAAGCCTTTGTATTTCAAAGTACTCTTCAGATGCATATAAGAACCCATACTGGAGAGAAACCCTACAAATGTGCTCAATGTGGTAAAGCCTTTGCATGGCGGAAAAGTCTTCAAATGCATAAAAGAACACATACTGGAGAGAAACCCTATGAATGTACTCAATGTGGTAAAGCCTTTACACAACACAGTAATCTTCAAGGGCATGAAAGAACACATACTGGAGAGAAACTCTATCAATGTAAGCAATGTGGTAAAACCTTTACACATTACAGTCGTCTTCAAAGGCATGAAAGAACACACACTGGAGAGAAACCCTATGAATGTAATCAGTGTGGTAAAGCCTTTGCACAACACAGTCATCTTCAAAGCCACAAAAGAACCCATACTGGAGAGAAACCGTATGAATGTAATCAGTGTGGTAAAGCCTTGGCAGATCACAATAGTCTCCGAATACATGAAAGAACCCATACTGGAGAGAAACCCTATGTATGTAATCAATGTGGTAAAGCCTTTGTATGTCACAGTACTCTTCAAGTGCATAAAAGAACACATAGTGGAGAGAAACCGTATGAATGTACTCAGTGTGGTAAAGCATTTGTATGTCATAGTCATCTTCAAGTACATAAAAGAACACACACTGGAGAGAAACCCTATGAATGCACTCAATGTGATAAAGCCTTTGCACGACTCAGTCATCTTCAAAGGCATAAAAGAACACATACTGGAGAGAAACCTTATGAATGTAATCAATGTGGTAAAGCCTATGCAGATCACAATAGTCTCCGAATACATGAAAGAACCCATACTGGAGAGAAACCCTATGAATGTAATCAGTGTGGTGAAGCCTTTGTGCGTCCCAGTCATTTTCAAAGACATAAAAGAACACATACTTGATAAGCCTTATGAATGTAATCATTGTGGTAAGTCTTTTGCATGTCACTGTGCTCTTCAAATGCATAAAAGTACACATACTGGAAAGAAGCACTATGTTTGTAATGAATATTGTAAAGCCTTGGCATGTCAAAGTATTCTTCAAAGGCATAAAAGAACACTTACTAGAGAGGAAACCTATTAATGTAATCAGTAGGTCAAGCTTTTTTTTTAATGTCACAATAGTCACTGAAAACATAAAAGAACCCATACTGCAGAAAAACCCTGTTTATGTAATCAGTGTGGTTAATCCTTTGAATACATAGTACTCTTAAAATGCATTGGCATATTGCAATAGTCTTTGACCACCTGAAAAGGCTACTGAGGGCTTCTTTTTTTAATATAATTTTTTCTTTAAAGTATTTTTCTTTCCTTTTATATACCAAGCCCTGTTCTCCCTCCCTCCCCTCCTCTCACTCCCCCATCTTCCCCATACCATTTTCATACCTCCGTCAACGGGAGTAAGGCTTTCCCTGGGTAGTCAACATACGCTGGCATACCAAATTGAGGCTGTACCTATCTCCTCCCCTGAATGAAGGCTGAATAAGGTATCCCACAAAATGAATGGGCTCTAAAAATCAAGTTCGTGTACTCAGAGTAAGTCCACATTACATTGCCAGGGCACCCACAAGAATATCAAGCCACATAATTGTCACCCACATTCACAGGGAATAGTGTGGTCCCATGCAGGCTTCCCAGCTGTCAGTCCAGAGTTCATGAGCTCCCATTCACTAGATTGGGTCAGTTATCTCTGGTTTTTCCCATCATGATCCCAACACACCCACGTTGCTGCTATATTCAGTCCTTCCTCTCTTCAACTGAACTCCAGGATTTTGGTCAAGTACTTGTCTGTGGATCTCTGCATCTGCTTCCATCAGTCATTGGATATAGATTCTATGATCACAATTAGGGTAGACACCAATCTGAGTGCAGGGGATGGCTAGTTTGAGCTCCCTATCCACCATTGCTTTGAGTCCTAGCTAGGGACAATCTTGTGAGTTCCTGGGGTTTTCCTAGCCACAGATTTCTCCCCATTCCCTTAGTGGTACACTCTGTCAAGATATCTCTATCATTGCTCTCTGTGTTTGAAGTTGATGTGTGCTTCTTGTATGCAGCAGGAGGACGGATCCTGGTTTCACACCCATTCTGTTAGCAAGTGTCTTTTTATGGTAGAAGTGAGTCCACTGGTAATTAAGGTATATTAATGACCGGTGTTTGTTAATTCCTGTTATGTTTTTCATGGTAGTATGTGTGTGTTTTCTTTCTTCAGGATTTGCTGGTGTGAGGTTATCTATTGCCTGTGTTTTGATGGTTGTAGCTAACTTCCTTGGATTAGAGTTTTCCTTCTAGTACTTTCTGTAGGGCTGGATTTGTGAACATGTAATGTTTAAATCTGGTGTTGTCATGGAATATCTTGTTTTCTCCATCTTTGGTGATTGAAAGCTTTGCTGGTATAGTAGAATGTGCTGGCATCCATGGTCTCAGTATCTGCAGAACATCTGTCCAGGACCTTCTGGCTTTCAGAGTTTCCATTGAAAAGTTGGTTGTAATACTGATAGGTCTGCCTTTGTATGTTACTTGATCTTTTTCCTTTGCTGCTCTTAATATCCTTTCTTTATTCTGTATGTCTAGTGTTTTGACTATTATGTGGTGAGGTGATTTTTGTTTTTTGGTGTAGTCCAGTCTATTTGGTGTTCTGTATGATTCTTCTCCCTTCATAGTCATGTCTTTCTTTAAGTTGGGAAAGTGCTTCTATGATTTTGTTGAATATATTTTCTCTGCTTTGAGCTAAATTCTAGTCCTTCTGTCCTTATTATTTTTAGATTTAGTCTTTTCATGGTGTCACAGATTTCCTGGATATTTTTTGTTTAAAAATTTGGTGGATTTGCCGGGCGGTGGTGGCGCACGCCTTTAATCCCAGCACTCGGGAGGCAGAGCCAGGTGGATCTCTGTGAGTTCGAGGCCAGCCTGGGCTACCAAGTGAGTCCCAGGAAAGGCGCAAAGCTACACAGAGAAACCCTGTCTCGAAAAACCAAAAAAAAAAAAAAAAAAAAAAATTTGGTGGATTTAACATTTTCTTTCACTGATGAATCTGTTTCTTCTATTGTATCCTCAATGCCTAAGATTCTCTCTTCCATTTCTTGTATTCTGTTGGTTAGGTAGCTTGCCTCTGTAGTTAGTTACTGTTTGTTTACTCAGATTTTCCTTTTCCTTAATTCCCTGAGTTTTTGTTTTCTTTATTGCATCTCTTTCAATTTTCAAGCCTTGAACTGTTTCATTCACCTGTTTGAATCTTTTTTCTTGGGATTCTTGACTTTAAGAGATTTCTGTTTTCCTTTCCTCTTTTTGTTTTTCTTTTTTTTTCATTTTTATGGAACTTTTCATGTCTTTTAGGACCTCTATAATCTTCATAAAGTTGTTTTTAAGGTCTCTTTCTTTTAGATTATCTGCTTTGGGATGTTCAGGTCTTGCTGTTGTAGGATCACTAAGATCTGGTGGTGCCTTATTGCTCTTTATGTTGTCTAATGTGTTCTTACACTGCCATCTATCCATTTCTTCCTTTTATCCATAAAGGTGCTACTCCAGGTCACTTTTCTTCCAATTGGTGCAGGAGGGGTGTATGGCTCTGATGTTCACTCTTCCCAATTAAAGCATGGGAACCTTATGGCTCCAGTGGTCTCTTGTGCCACAGGGGATATACGGCAAAGGTGCAGGAGGGAGAAGACTGCTGGCCATTCTTTGCTGCTACACTGGCTGAGGAGAGGGGCTAGAGAAGTGGCCTAACCATTCTGGAGATTGGGCCTTTCCTGTTCCCAATCAGTGCATGTAGGGGGCATATGACTCTGATGGTTGATGGTGCCATTGAAGATGGTTATCTTGGCTAGAGAGGGCTTCTTAATATAAAGTGTTTGATAAGATTGTTAGCCAACACACTTATAATCAGTTTCACAAGAGTATTCTGTAGAAAAAAAAAAAACTTGACAATGTGAAAAATCTGTTAAAGCTTTAGGATGTCTTTTTTAATATTGTTTGCACCAACAATCTGATGGAAAAAAATGAATTTATAACTATAGGAAGCCATAGGTATAGCGTTAAAGGGCCAGCCAAAGAAAGCACCTTGACCCTGAAACCAGAGCCAGTGAAAGACACACACTTTGTCCTTGAAGCTGGAGCCAAAGAAATACACATTGACCCTGAAACCACAAAAGGAACACACTTCATCCCTGAATCAAGAGTCAGTGAGGGAAACTGATGACCCTGAAAAAAGACCCAAACAGTTTAAAAAGGACCAGTGAAAGAAACACACTTTGGCCCTAAAACCAGAGCCAATGAAACACAGTTTATCCTTGACCAAGTGAGCACAAACCAACCAATTCCTGAGCTTGAATCCAATCAATCCCTGAGCACAAAATCCAGCCAATATCTGAACATGTTCAGTCTTAGACATTGAAATCTGACCAATTCCCACCCTGAAAATTTCCCTGGAAAAGCTCTGCCCCTACGAAGCCCTATATGAGGGTTTGCCTGTTCAGGTGGTAGCTGCTCTTTTCCATTCTGGCAGAGGCAGCCACTATTCTGGATTCTGCCCTCCTAAATAAATCTCTTGAATGAGTTTTAGGGGAAGACTTTTCACTTGTGGATTGGAGCAGAGAAGCAATGGTAACTTTGCTGGGAAACTCCCTTAATGGAGTGGAGTAAAAGTAACAACTTCTCCCTGGAGACCACTATGTTTCTGCAGCAGTTTCCCCCTTACTTGACTGAAGCAGAGAAGTAACAATTTGGTCTAGAGATAAGAAGAAGTGGACATCTCTGCTGGGAAATTCCATTAGGGGAGTGGAGCAGAGCCCAACTGTAATGGCTCTCTTTTAGAGAGGAGCAGGATTGCTACATTCTGTAGGGAGAGCATTCCGCAATGAAACACAGCTTTAGTTATAGCCTGACTTCTGACACTTCAGGGTACCTTTTTCTTTAGAGCCCAAGCTATCCAGGATACTTTGCTCCAACTGCTTCAGGTAGTGCTGGACTTTCCAATAGTCAGGACGCCTTTCTCCTCACAGTTGTAAATATTGAGTATATTGTCCCTTCACAGCTATAGGTATGGCCTGACTTCTAACAGTCAGGGTACCTTTCTCTTCAGGGCTGTAGGTACCCAGGATACTTTTCCTCCACAGCTTCAAGGATAGCCTGACTTCCCAACAGTCAGGGCACCTTTCCACTCATAGCTGTAGGTATATAGGATATCTTTCCTTTACAGTTGTAGGTATAGCCTGACTTCTTTTTGGCATCAGGATACCTTTGCCCCCAGAGCTGTAACACCTGCACTATGAAGATAAACAATAATGTAACACTTTTAGATTTTATACTTCTCTTCAATTAAATGAAATAACTAATTCAGATGTGTAGATGAACTTCTAAATGATCTTATTAAGTTTAAAAAAAATGGAGCCAATTGTAGGGGTGAAAGCCTTAGATCAGGGAAATACGGATAGCCACAAGCCAACCTTTGCTCACCAACTCTGCAGCTTCCAAATATGTGCGACTTCCTCTCTACCCAGGTTTTATATGCCTTGCTTATCAGCCCTCTCATTGGCTCTCTTAGTCCAGCTACCTCACTTCCTCTTCCTACACATCTCTGGACTTTCTGTCTGTACAGAACTCCAGGTCTCTATGCTTGGTACTGAGATTACAGGCATGTGTTACTATGCTTGGCTCTTCCCTATTGTGGTCTAAAACACACAGAGATCTTGCCTGCTAAGGGATTAAGGGCGTGTGCTGCCTGACGTCTTTGTTTACTTAAAATGGTTGGCCTTTCCCCCATGATCTCCAGGCAAGCTTTATTTATGAAAGCACAAATAAAATATCACCACACAGATTTGTATTAGTTTCTTTTCTGTTGCTGTGATATAATATCTAGGTATAACCTGACTTTTGACAGTCAGGGTACCTTTTTCTTCAGAGCCCTTGTATCATAGTCATCTTATAATTTAATTTGGCCTTGGGTTCCAGAGGGATACAGGATCATCAAAAAAGTGGCATGGCAACAAGTGTCAGACATGACAGCTATTTCAGGAAGCTAAAAACTGACATCCTTAACTGCAGCATCAAGCACAGAGTGGGAACTGGAGATGGTGTGTGGATGTAAATTCTCAAAGTCTTCCCTCAGTGACATACTTCCTCCAGCAGGTCAGTATTTCCTAAATCTTCCAAATGATGCCATCAACTTAGAAGGATTGACTTCTCAGACTTCAAGACTGTGCTTGCTTTCTGTTACAGCTTTCTGTTACATGAACCAATTCATGGTGAATAAAAACTCTGTATGTAAGCTATTAGGTGCCTTAACACCTTTGTTACAGAAATGAGTTCTTACAAGAAAAAGTCCCCCATGAGTGATAATTGTCTGTTTAAAAATCAATTTTAATTATAATTTTGTATTGTTTATGTGTGTCTCTGTGGGTGTGTGAATGGGCATGCTGTTTCCTGAGAACTTTAGACCCTTGGATCTTGTAGCAGCAATCACAAGGAGTTGTCAAAAATCAGAACTTGATCCTGGAAATAAAGATTTTATCACGGCCCAGCTATAGATCTATTGCTGTAAATATTTTAAAGCCTACTTATATCACTTTGAAGTCAGGAAATAAGGACAAACTCATACAAGAGTAAGCCCCTATTCATGTACACAATTTGGTAAAGACTCTGGATTTCAGAGTTGTCTTTAGCTTCAAGAAAAGCAATCATGTTTCATTAACTTTTCATTGTAACCTTGAAGGAAGTGAATTACCACATTCATTCAAGACAGATGGTGGAGATCAATTCACTGCATTTTCTATTTTGAATCATTTGTGGTAGAAACATGTGCTATATGTGTGACAAATCCATTTAGTGAAGTTTAGTTTGTTCCTTATATTCTTTGTGTGGCATTTGTTCATCTTCTATTGTCCTTTTCTTAGTGATAGGTATATTTCTGCTGTAATGTATGGAATGGTATCCCCATCATCTAAGTAGTCCATTGTTATTCAAATATCAGTCAGTGTGTGATCATAATTTTCAATTAAGGGTGTCTGTGATATGCTGATGGGTTGCTCCTCGTTTTTTTTTTTTTTTATATTTTCACAAATTCCCTTGAGATTTTGTTATGGCAATATTTTGTTTATACTCCAACAAAATTTGCCTGAAGATCAGAGGACAGAGGCATCCACTAGATTAAACATAGAGACCAGGCAGTGGTAGCACACACCTTTAATCTTAGCACTAAGGAGGCAGAGATCCACATAGATCTCTGTGAGTTGAAGGCAACCCTAGACTACACAAGATTAATCCAATCTAAAAGAAAAACATCCAGTCAGCAATGGCTCTCTCCTTTAATCCAAGTACTTGGGAGTCACACACCTTTAATCCTAGCACTAGAAACATTGAGACAAGAAATGGTATGGCTGGTGGAGAAAGGCATATAAGGCAGGAGAAGGCAGGAACTCAATCCTTTCCACTAGGGACCCAGAGGCATTGAGTCTGGGGATTCATGGAGACAGGATCTTCCCCTTTCAGCTGAGGAGTGGGCAAGGTGAGAAGTGTCTGTGGCTTGTTTCCTCTGATCTTTCAGCATTTACCCCAATACCTGGCTCTGAATTTTTATTAAGACCAATTAGGATTTGTGCAACATTTTGTTGTTTGTTATTCAGCTCGACTTAGATAACAGTAATGATTCAGGGATACATTTGAACTCATGATGCTCATGTGTCCACATCCACAGTGCAAATCCAGGAGTAGATAATATACTCCTAATGTGTGCTGTTCTGTCAACACAATTTAACAATGCTAATGTTAAAATGCTTAATAGAAGAGAATATAAAAACGTTAAATACTTCTTTTGTGTATTCAAAGCAGTATTTTCACTTATGTGGTAAGGATATAATAAAGTAAGATAATCAGTAATTACCTATGTATCATGTACCATAGCTTGATGTTCAATTGATGTGTGTGTGTGTGTGTGTGTGTGTGTGTGTGTGTGTGTGTGTGTGTGTAATTTGAGATTCCATCCTTCTCCCTGTCCCCATTAGTTAAACCACTTGGCATTTTATCTTGAAGTACTACCTTCTAAGGGAATTATCCAGATATGCCAGAAAATGTAATGGCATCAAGATGTTTTTGTAACAAATATTTATGGAGTGTGTCTGTCATTTTATTATGAGTTTGTAGGCCCATAACAGGTAAGTGGATACCAAAGTTAACTTTGTAGTTTCTACTTTTGATCCTCTTAATATGGTTATCAAGATCAGGTTTTCAGCCATAGACCATTCCCACTGAACCATCTCACTGGTGCTGAAATAAGATTAGTAGAAATACTACAGTGGCAAACTATTGTCTTATTTTCAGATTGTAAACTTAATTTCATACAATGATAGAGGAACACAGGACAGTTTGAATAATAAATCTTTGCATATGAAAATATTTATATGACCATACATTTTTAAAATGTTTCTTCTGAAGACTAAACATTTGTTTATAACACTTTCTCAGAACCACTACTGAATGCCAGAGAAATACTTCATTCATGAAAGTTGGTTGCTACTAAGCCTGATGACCTGAGTTCTAGTTCTAGATGTCTGATATTACTCCTATAAGATTTTGTCTAATTTATATACTTGCGAATGGATACTCCGACACATCAGCACATACATAAATGATTTTTAAACCAGAATAAGTACCATTGAGGTCACTTGCAGCCAAATGATTCATTGGTTTCATCACTAGGACTCATGTTGGGGAAGTAGATAATAGACACCTGTAAGTTGTCTTCACAGTGCTACATACACATCATGGCACAGGTGTATACCACAAATGCAGTCATACATTTTTTTCTTTTGGTTTTTTGAGACAGGAACTTGCTTTGGAGACCAGGCTGGCCTCGAACTCACAGATCTGCCTGCCTCTGCCTCCTGAGTGCTGGGATTAAAGGCGTGTGCCACCACCACCTGGCTCATCATACATTTTTAAATGGAAGAAGTTAACAAAGCAAAGAAAATAAACCAGTTATTGAGAACATATTAAGTGATTTCCCCATTTGAATTATAGAATCTTAAGAAATTTGCTGTCCAACAATACAATGATGCTTCATTTTTAAATCATATTTTATCCTTTCATTCTCTGATTCAATGATAGTATATTTAAAAACACATCATCTGGATTTAGAGGTGGATATCTGTAATACCAACAATTTGGGGAGTGTGCTGGGTCAGTTCTGTGAGTTTGAGGCCAGCTTGGTACCTATAGTGAACTCCAGTTCAGCCATCGCTATGTGGACATACCCTGTCCCAAAAAGAGAAGCATATTTCAAATTTTGAAACTTTTCCTAATGTAATCTGGCTGGACTCTTACTGGTTTCAATAAAAGCTTTTGTTATGTTTCTCATGTTAAGAGAACTTTGTTGCTGGGTAGTGGTGGTGCATGCCTTTAATCCCAACACTCAGGAAGCAGAGGCAGGTTGATCTCTGTGAGTTTGAGTCCAGCCTGGTCTACAGAGTGAGTTCCAGGAAAGGCTCTAAAGTCGCACAGAGAGACCCTGTCTCAAAAAAACTAAACAAATAAAACAAAACAAAAGGTGACCATTGTTAACAATCAAAATAAGAAGCAATATAAAGAGTCCATTCACAGAGGTATAGAAATACATTGAATCCTTTCATAACCATCTACTGGGAACTTTCCTCACCTTAAAGTAATAGGAGACAGAAGGACCAGTGGGACACCTTCATCTTCACTATTATAATGACATATATAGGGCCTGGAAAGTTGGCTCAGTAGTACCTACTCTCTTCAGTACCTAAGTTTGATTCCTAGCACTTACATCAGATTGGTCACATTGGTATTTCCAGGCCCAGGAAATCTGGTGCATTCTCCTGGCCTCTTAGGGCATCAGATATTCAAATTATGAAGAGACAGATACGTATGTGATTCCATATTGTAAAAAAGGCTTTCTTTTTGCCTGTTACCTTATAAAAGATTTAAAAGAGAATGAATTTTAAGTGCATAGGTTTTGCCAGTGTGTATACCAAATGCATGCCAGGTCCTAGAGCTGATCAGTAGATGGCATCTGATTTCCTGTGACTGGAGGTACAAATAATGGTGAGCTGTCTTGTGGGTGCTGAGAATCAAAGTCGGGTCCTGTGTGTGAGCAGCCAGTGTTCTAAGTGCTGAGCATTCTATTCAACCACATAAACATGTCATTAATAACATTTAAGGTGTGAATGGCTGATATAAGATCATCTGTACCTCATCTCTGATGACCCAGAAGAAATGTAAGATTGAAAACACCAGAAAATGACTTAGACATGGTACCTAAAACATTCTTCAAGCCTAAATCTCCACAAAATGAGAGAAAATACAATGAATGACCATGAAAGAAACTGAAAATAAAAGTCTTTTTTTAAAAAAACATAAAAGTCTTTAAATGATGGTTGACCATTTAACTGAAGCTACAAGGGTGGTTTCATCTCCATTGTGGTAAATGGGTGCAATTGGAGTACAGAAGCTCATGTTAGGTGTAGCATTGCTTGAGTTTATACCTCCTGTAATGAGAGAAAAGAAACGTGCAATTATAAAAGTCTGACTTCTCTGTACATATTCTGCTTTCCTGATGCCTGCAAAACCTTCAGCCAGGAGCCCTGGATGGTCGTGACTATAGATGACATTCAGGTTATGAGGAGATCCTGAGATTTGAATTGAAGTCTTGCCAAGGCTAAGGTAATCAAGCATTTACAATGAGATGTGAGCTTTGGGTGTGAAAGCCTGAGGTTCTAATAATAGAGTGCACTGCTTGGGGCATACCTGAGGACAAGTTGACATGCACTGTACTCTTCTTAAAGAGATCAACCTCTCTCTGACTCCCATTTGTTAGGATTAAAGGCATGTACCACCACCACCTAGTGTAACTTGGTTCTTTTAGTTGACTTAATAAGAGTGAATGGCTGAGCCTGGATGGTTAGTTTTAGTCCAGACGTGGGCTCTGATCCTAACTCTAACAAAAGAAGGCTTCTATCTAATGCAGCCCTCCCTGCTTAACATCCAGTCTTCCAACTTTGAGCAGTATTCTTTTTCTTTATCTTTGAGTCTGTTATAATTCATCAAGGGACTCGGGCAGAGTACTGTCCTTATTCTACAGATTGTGAAACTCAAGCTAATGTAGATCGGTAGTTTTTGAATATACAGAATTATCACTGCTCATTTTACTCATCCTATATCAATCTAATGACTCATTAAATGAAAATGAAGCCACTAAGCCAGGCATGGTGGCATAGGCCTGTAACCAAGATACTTAACGGACACAGGAATGTTAGGATTTCAAAATCATCTCATTTCATGATTTTAATCTTAATGCACTCTCATTTGTAATATGAATGTGAGAACTGCAGCTATCCTGTCTATAGGTAGCAAGAGAAAATGAAGGGCAGAAAGAACACAATATAATGAAAGCAATCACCTTCAGAGGGTTTTTGTAATGTTTATTTAGTTGGTATGTGTAGAATGATTAAATATCAAGCTTTTTTTTTTTTTTTGTTTTTGATTTTGTTTTGTTTTGTTTTTTCGAGACAGGGTTTCTCTGTGTAGCATTGCGCCTTTCCTGGAACTCACTATAGACCAGGCTGGCCTCAAACTCACAGAGATCCACCTGCCTCTGCCTCCCAAGTGCTGGGATTAAAGGCGTGCGCCACCACTGCCCAGCCGATATCAAGCTTTTGTAGAAAGAGTTGTTATAGAGATCAGATACAAATGTGCTATCATTCTCTGTATTTTCTCAGAGTCTGTTATTATGTCCCCACATTAGTCTCTAATTTTGTTGATTTGGACATTATCTCACTGTCTTTAATTAGTTTGGATGAGGGATCATCTATTTGTTGATTTTTCTTGAAGAACCAACTCTTTTATTGCTTCTCTGTATTGTTCTCTCTTTTTTTTATTCTATTGATTTCAGCTCTCTGTTTATTTCCTGCCATGTACTTTTCTTAAATGTGTCTGCTGCTTTTTGTTCTAGAGCTTTTAGATATGCTGTTCAGTCACTAGTATGGGATCTCTACAAATTTTTCATTAAGGCAATTAGTGTTATGAACTTTCCTCTTAGCACCACTTTTATTGTGACTCATACCTTTGAGTATGTTGTACATCGTTTTCATTGAATTCTTGGAAGTCTTTAACTTTTTTATCTCTTCATTGACCCAGTGGTAACTCAGTAGTGAGTTTTCAGTGTTTTTTATGTATACTTGAGTCATGTTTGTTAGTTTTGCCGTGTTAGTTTCTGTCTGCACGATCTTTCCATTGGTGAGAGTTGGGTGTTAAAGTCACCCACGATTATTTGTGGGGCTCTATGAGTGATTTAAGCTTTAATAATGTTTCTTTTACAAGTGTGGGTACCCTTACATTTTGTTCATACTTGTTTAAAATTGAGACATTATCTTGGTGGTTTTTTCCCTTGATGAATTTGCAATGCCTTTTTCCATCTATTTCGATGAATTTTCATTGAAAGTTATTTTGTTAGATATTAGGATAGGTAAATCAGCTTGCTTCTTTGGTCCATTTGATTGGAAAATCTTTTTCCAACCCTTTACTCTGAGGTAATGCCTTTTCTTTGATGTTGAGGTGTGTTTCTTTTATGCATCAGAATGTTGTATCCAATTCATTAGCCTGTGTCTTTTTATTGGTGAATTGAGTCCATTGGTATTGAGGGACATTAATGACAAATTGTTGCTAATTCCTATTATTTTTTTATTGCTGATTGTAGTGTATGTGTGTCTGTGTATCTGTCCATCTATCTGTGTCTGTGTGTTTTGCTGCTTTAGGTTTTGCTGGTTTGAGATTACCTACTTCCCTGTTGCCTGTGTTTTTATCAGTGTAGTTAACTTCCTGGAGTTGGTGTTTTTATCCTAGTATCTTCTATAGGGTTTGGTTTTGGGATAGATATTGCTTAAATGTGAATTTGTTAAATACTGTTTTTTCCACCTATGGTCATTGACAGTTTTTCTGGGTAGAGTAGTCTTGGCTGACATTCTTGGTCTCTTGGAGTCTGAAAGAGATTGGTCCTAGCCCTTATGGATTTTAGGATCTATGTTGAGAGGTCCGATGTGATTCTAATAGGTATGCTTCTATATGTTACTTGGCCTTTTTCCCTTACTGATTTTAATATTCTTCCTTTGTTTTGTATGTTTAGCATTTGATTATTATGTGGCAAGGGAATTTTCTTTTCTTTTTTTTTCTTCTTTGTATTTTTTTTAATTTTAATTTTAATTTAATTTAATTTAATAATTTTATTTTATTTTATTATATTTTACAATACCATACAGTTCTACATATCAGCCACGGGTTCCCCTATTCTCCCCCTCCCACACCCTCCCCTTACCCTCAGCCTACACCCCATTCCCACCTCCTCCAGGGCAAATCCTCCCCCGAGGACTGCAATCAACCTGATAGACTCAGTCCAGGCAGGTCCAGTCCCTTCCTCCCAGACTAAGCCAAGTGTCCCTGCATACACTCCAGGTTTCAAATGGCCAACTCATGCAATGAGCACAGGACTTGGTCCCACTGCCTAGTTGCCTCCCAAACTGATCAAGTCAATCAACTGTCTCATGTATTCAGAGGGCCTGATCCAGCTGGGGGCCCCTCAGCCTTTGGCACATAGTTCATGTGTTTCCATTCATTTGGCTATTTTTTT